TAATTAGTAATTTCTGAAGTCATGAAAACATATTAAAGAAAAACACGAAAAGAGAGACTTCGAAAGGTTGTTACCAAAAAAAAAAGGACTATGCCCTCGAATGTAAGATACGGAAACACTTTTTTAGGTCTTGCTCATGACACTGAACTATAGAAAATTTAGAAAACTGTAATTTAAATAAAATCATTGCTATCATTTTTAATTACTTTACATCAACACTGGATCAAAAACTCATACATAAAATCTAATTTCAAGAAAAAATATTGACTACAATTTTAACTGAGCATCAATGCACTGAAAATTACACATTTTGACAGCTATCCAGAGTCAATTTCTGAATCTTATCTAAGACAAGATTCAGATTGGCCTTTTTTGAAGCACATCCATCCATATGGATTTTTTTTTCCTCTTAGAGGGTGAAATTGTAATTATAAGACTGTCTCCTTTATATTAGTTGCAAATTTACTGTGGTTGTAGAACAGCAATCCTTTCTCTTAAAGTAAAAGGCAGCAGGTTGTCCCTCGGTCTGCTTGTGTAAGGCCTGCCTTTCTCCCAGAGCACCTAGCGTGGTTGACTTAGCAGCACATGACTCCTCTCCCAGCCGCTGGGTGTCGTGTTCCCTCTGGAACATCTTCCATCCCAAAGGCAGACTTCTATAGGCATTTGCTAAATTTTTATAATGTGCAAGAAAACAGTAAGTAGACATGGCCTCTGAATCAAGAATAAACCCATAGGTGAACATTTCGACACCTCATATGTAGATAGTGTATATTTCTAACTTACCAGTGTTGATATTAATATGGTAGTGTGAATACTTTTTAATATTCAAACTACTTGTAAATGTTAGAAAGTTTGGAATGACTTTGAGTGTTATTCCATACAAATGGCTCTCAAACCTTGAAAATTTAAGAACTTAAACAAAGGGTTAAGTCTTCTAAGCCTTGAGTCATCTGTTTAGAGCTTCAAAAGTGATGCATTGCTCAGGTCAAGCTTTCGTGCTAAGATCACCCTTCTGAGGCCAGGGGACTGTCGTTCAACTCGCAGGACAAGGAGGACAGAGGAGGATGTTAGAGAGCCCTGTACAGTTTTTCAACACTCTTGCTTTTTGAGAATAAAGTGTATTTTTACAAAACTTCCTGAGAAGGAAAATTCAGATGCCACCCTACCACCTGACCTGCCAGGCCAGCATACTCCTTACAGTGTTTAATTAAAACATCCTGAGAAATCTCAACCTCTGTTTTGTGATTTAAATGTATTTCATTTTCTATTCTGGGTGTTCAATGAAATTGAGTGCTCCCTACCAGACAATAAAACTTCATCGTGAAGACGCACTGCTCCAAATGTGCAGTGCTGGCCGACCCTAGCTGCAAGATCAGTACAAGAGACTGGTCCAGGCTCCCATTCCAGTCCACACAGAGTCAGCAGAGAATTCGTTCCAGCACCCTGCAGTGGCTACGGACGTTTTAATCAATACGTCATTTGCATAATTGGAATAAGTTATATTTTTCCTGTCTACTCTAATTTTATAGCAAAATTAATTCGAAATAAGATAAAGCAGTAAATGTGAAATAACGAAACCGTAAACTAACAGAAGCTAGCGTAAGTGAACATCTCACAGCTCTTAGAACGGCAACAGGACCGTAAAGGCAAAGAGGACATAGAAAGGGCAAACGGCAGCGTTCACAAAAGTAAAAGTCCCTTCCTAGACAAAATATGACACGCTACAATTAAAACTTTTAAAAATCACATGAAAAACACGCTTTCAACCAGCTGAAGAAACAGAGTATTTCTGCCTCTGGTGATAAAAATGTTTCTTGAAACTAGTAATAAAAAGTCCTAAATGGGAAAGTGATCAGAGAACACAATGGACAGTTGAGACCCAATAGAAATGATGATTTGATCTATAATGAGCAAAGTTAACAAGAGAGGAACACTAAACTGTGCGTGTGACAGAAGGAGCCCTTTAGTCTATTATTGTTAAGAATTTATGAGGTTTTATGACGTTTGTATTCTTATTTCCGTGTGTGTCTATGTGCATGTGACTGTAGTGCCCATGGATATCAAAAGAAGGCATCAGATGCCCTGGAGCTGGGACTGCAGGCAGTTGTGAGCTGCCCAGTGTGGGTTCTAGGAACCAAACTCGGGTCCTCTGCAAGAGCAGCAAGTGCTCTTAAGCACCGAGCCATCTCCTCAGCCCAAATTTATGAGATTTATAGGAGGAAAACACATTTTTTTAAATCAAGGTCCTCAAAAATATTCATTCCGTTTATCCAAGTGATCCTACTCCCTGGAGTCTGAAGATATACCATGAAAATTTGTGCATGAGAAAACCACGGTGTTATTTATAATTTTGAAAAAAAAACTAATATTCAATAGCAGGAATGGTTA